AGAGGCAAGTGCAAGATCCTGGAAAACCCAACGTGCGAAGAAACCCAGTCGTTTTGTCAGTTCTCTTTTCGGTGAGAAGGTGTGTCAAAATCAAGATTGTTCATGATCCCCGAAATCACAGTTTGATGTCTGGATCCGCGTTGCCTTGGCCCCGCACTGGCCATCGAGGCTTTTGGGGCGTTTAGTATGCCATGACACGCGTGTCCTCTTCAGGGGCCGGTGAAAAACAGTCATGTATGTCCACTTGCAATGCAATCGTTTCTTTGGAACCTGGAGAGAGATGCCACGCAATCCTACCAAGTTGGCTGTGATGAGCATAGCCCGAATCGAAAGAATAAATATGGCAGCGCCACTTTGATGCGACTCCTTGCACTGGTGCATCTTTGCAGCGTATGATGCAATAAGGGTTTGTCATGGCAAGGGTGTGTTGCTTCAGTCCCTCGAGCCCCGCACGCAGGTGACAGGAACTCTTCGCGGAACCCAGCCTTAGCTCACGCTGTGATGCGAGCTGCCGGCCGTGGGGACATCTAGCACGCAATTATGTTGTGCTCACGGGTTGTGGGTCTCAAGGGAAATCACAGCAAGACCATGAGGATGCATGAATGTAAGGATCTTAGCCTCAGTGGCGCTCGAGACCTCGTCCAAGCAGCCCAAGAGGATATTTTTGGGGTCACTTGCAATGAGAAAATACATGGGTTCCCCAATTTGATGGCAATTCTTGGCCTGCAAGGAGGCAGCTGGCTCTTTGTCCCAGATCTCCCAGAATATCCAGAGATGTGGTGCTGGTGGGCGGCATGCTGGAAACATTGAACGGGACTTTATCCGCAGAATGGTTAAGGATTTGGAGCCCTGTCTTGGCAATTAATTACTCATGATTGCGGTGCTGCGTCAATCACATGCCTGCATCCCTTCGAAGATGGCCACCAGCCGTAAAATATTAAAGCATGCATGCATTGCAATATTGCAACAACAAGGTGCCAATTCGTTCAGTCAAAGTTCCGGTGAAGACGAGCTACATTGATGAGACAGTGGTGGTGAGGCCTTCTGGGATCTTGCGGCTGCGACTTGAAACTAGTCGCATGCATAATGTGTACATGTAGTAGCGTTTGTACTGGTACCAATCTTATGCCTTGCAGGGATATGCCGATCATCCTACCCCATGAACTGGCCACCTATTTGGCCGGCAAGGATGAGTGGCCAGCTTGGGCACACGGGGGCCAAGACGAAACTGTTGAATTCTGGAACCATCTTCGTGAACGGGGAGTGGATTGGGCTGCCGACCCTGCTTGTCAGTCAACGCCCCCCCGGCCAATTGGGCTCTATGGCGATGACATTGTCTACAACAAAGCAGGAGACAAAATGGTGGTTGTGGGTTGGAATGATGTCCTGCAGAAAACGGTCAATATGCACAACTGGCCCATCTTTGTTCTGAGGGTTGCTGCTTGTCTCGGAAGGTGCGATCTTTTCTGATGGGGTGTTCATGGGCCAACACACCACAAAGCTGTGGTCCTGCAATGTCAATCGAACCAAGGCTTTGTCAACCGGCTTCGACACGATGCAGGCCTTTATGCGACCGGCATCTCACCATCAAATATCCTTTGTTTGACTTGTGCCCCCATCAACGTACATGATCAGTGTCCTCTTCATGTTTGGCTTCAACAAGTTTGGCTTTTGGGAAACAACACCAAACCAATATGCTTGCCAAATAAATCAATGACGGAATTAAGGTGCAAATTTCCATGAACATCTTGCACCACGGCTTCCAGCCCCAACGCCCTTTGCATATGGAGGAGTGTTTCAACAGAGAGGTCTCAGACAGGGTCTGCGCCACCCTGACAACTGAGCCGCTGGCGGTCAATCGCGATGGCCAGAGGCTGGTTTGCGTCCTCGCGGAAGTGCGAGCTGATTGGAAGTTCTTGAAGGACATGGGGTCCATCCCTTCGAAATTAATCGTCATTAATGACCCATGGCCACCCTCCGATCACAAGCGCTGTAAATCCTTTTCTGGGCTTGCATGCTACAAATTCCCGGTTGCCCCTAGCTATATATCTATATAGAAAATGAACTTGCTTGAAAGTTACAGTGTGCACACATGTTTGGTGGCTAGATCAGTGCAAAGGGATCCAGCCCTTGTTGGTAGGAGATCTTCCACATGACCTGTGGATGGAACTCCAAGTATCTGTGTCACCACTGTTTTGTGGAGAAGAGCAGCTACTTGGAGCTGCCTTCGGACCTCGCCCTGAAACCCCGGCGTGACATCAACAGCTTCAAGCAGGTTCTTCGTCGCGGGAGTGATGGCAATTACAGTCGATGCCTCAATATATTCTGAATGTGTAAACGATGCATGTTCAGTCTGATGACTGTTTGAGATGCATGCAAAGTCCCATTCCCAAATGTGACCAGAAAACGAACTGCCCACAACGTGAACTAGTTTGTTTGCTTTCCGTGTTTGTGAGTAGCATGCTATATGTATATAAGCGGCAAACCAATGAATGCATGCTTCATGTGTATCGAGGTTGCATCCTCGACATCCACAACTTCAGCCCCACTTTGGTGCGCTGGTGTTCCCTGCATGTGGTCAACCTGGGGCTGATTGCTTGGGTGGGGGCGTCGGCCATCCAGTTTGTGCTCAACAGGGACTGCAACTGCAAAGTATTGGTCGGCTGACATGCAACTGGTGGATCACTGTTTAAAGGGGAACCCATGCACACCAATTTGTATGGGGTGCCCAGCAATAAAATTTTGCTGTTGTCCCTGTAGGTTTATTTCTGAGGAAACAAGTCATGATGTTTGTGCCCAGCAATAAAATTTCGATGTTGTCCCTGTAGGTTTATTTCTGAGGAAACAAGTCATGATGTTTGTTGGGCCTTCCAGGTTGGATCCTGAGGGCACCTGTCGAAGCATGTGGGGTTGGCTCTGTCCCAGGAGCTGCTTTGGGGCCCCGCCACGGATGGTCTGCAGACTCGCCTGGCGCGGGCGTACCGAGCTTTCAAGGAATGGGCCCACGAAAACAAGCTGCCGCACAGCCAGCCAATGTTCAAGCCTTCATTCTTGAGGGGGGCCGGTTCGAACTATGTGGAGATGGCTGCAAAGGGGCACAACGTCTTCCGGTTGCATGGATGTTTTCAAGCATATATCGTGTCAAATTTGTGGTGCACCAATTGGGGTTCCAGTCCACATCCCACACACAATTCTCGAAATGTCTATGTGGCCCAAGGCGAGGATCCTGTTGGCTTGGCTTTCTGACACGCTCCTCGGTGGAAGCTTCCTTGACGAGCATGGGGATGAGGAGGAGGTAAAGCACATGGCCTACACCTTGCAACTTGAGCTAGCACCAATCTATTTTTTGGGTCGTGGGCAAGTGGGTTAAATGCTGGCAAGTCGCAATCGGTTTGAGATTGGGATTGGTTTGGGATCGATGGGATCTAGGTACCACTTGGGAACCTTCATGACCAAGTTGGAGCAGTATGGCCGCTACCTTCAGGGAGAAGAGGCTCTTGCTCTCCAGAGCTTGTGTGAGCCTTTGACAAAACAAGAATTCTAAAAAATGAATGTAAAACTATCGAGAATCATTTGGGATGCGGACAACGCCCCCTCATGGTGCCCTTCGAGAGATGTCCTAAATGAAATTCTGGATGCTGAGCCCGGCATCAAGGTCTACAGGAAAGTCACTCCCAAACCCGAATGATAGTTCTCGCTGGCATTGAGTCTTTGGTGTATCCTCCCCGGCACACATCATTAGCGGTAGCCCAGCTTGTGTCCTGGAACCAACAACTTGCATGAACAGTCGAGGATCGGACTTTGTCCAGCTATGTCCACTTGGCGGAGCTTTGCGTTTCCCGTTCTGACATGATGTGGCCGATTCGGCCTAAATTGCATGCAACTGGCCAGCAAGCAGGGCACAAGCATGCTCGCGCCTGCATCTGGCTAGCCATTGCATCGCCTTGCCTCAGGCATACCAGGAGATGTGCCACTTTATGGTGCTTGACGGCGACTCGGCCCCTACATATTGGAGCGTCTCGCTTTGTTGTCCCTAAATATTATCTAGCTGGCCTTTCTCGCTTTGCATGATGGGCGCGTGAAGTGGTCGCATTGAATTTGCAATTGAGCGGGGATCCTTCACATTAATTGATTGCGACTGAGCACGCTAAGGCCTGAATTGCCGCTTTTATCACACGTTTCGGGATGAGGACATGAATGGCAAACTGGTCCGATGCCTGCCTGCAAATAACTTGGTCATGTTGCAGGTGAAACAGCTACATGAGCATTGTTGTGTGCAGGGTCCCGCAAGCCCACTGCTTTTAAGGCATTGTGCGAAAGGGACATGCCCGATGCCTGGAAAGGAGTGTGCTTCGCAGAGTGGCTCTTTGGAACCTTGACCGCATCTGTCCCAGAAGTGCGTGCCCCATTCAGCAAGATTGACTTATTCTTCTCAGAATGAGGATTGCCTATGCTGAAGATGAGGACGAATCAGATGATAGCCTGTGATGGGGCTGGCCGAACCACGCTGCTGCAACTCCATAAAGGCCTCAACTTGTTTGATGACTCAGTGGAACACCCAGGGAAAAACCCTTAGCAACTTCATAGCACACATATGTTGAGGCTAGCGGAGGTTTTGATGTCCAAAGATCCCATTTTCGCGTTAGATGTGCATTGGCCACCATTTGGCCAATGTGTGGGGTGCTCGGGTGCCAGAACCACCCGACTAGGGGCGAGGCATGGGTGAAAAATGCGATGGCCGGCTGCCGGTTGAGTTAGAAATGGCTGCATGGCGCGGGCCCCTCTACCCGGAAAGCCACAAGATGGCAAAGCTTAGGGTCAGGACACTTTCCATAATTGACTCCAAAATGCAAGTGGTCTCTGAGAGGCCACTTAAAATCCCAAGATGCCTCAGAGGCAACTCAGCCTCCAAGAGCTTCCCTGGAGCATACTTTGGATGCTCTGGGCTGTATAGGACACATACCAAGCGGAAGCACCGAACCTCAACCCCACCGAGGAGCTCCAATCCACCTTCCAGTCGCCCAAAAAAAGCCTCAAACAGCACACGCGCTTGCGAAGCATTGCGGTAGTCTTGGTGCCCAAACAGAGCGGTCCATCTGCACAAGCGACAATTTACTGCACTCTTTCAACGTATCTGTCTGGATATGTCAGCACTAATGAGTGTCCAATAGTTGCGCGGCCACCAACCCTGACACAAGGGCAGAATATTGTCCCTGCAAAACGAATGGACCGTGAGACTCCATGAGGCCCCACGAGCTCATTCTACGCCGGGGTAGAAACAATAGACTGCACAAATGACTGTTACCAATCCGGGTCACATTTTCACAGTGCGAACCCCTGTCTTTATGCGTCAAAGCACGAAACATGAGCTGAAAAAACCAGTCACCCAGGGGCTCAACATGGCTCTTGGTTCCCACATGGCAATGGGTTCCCACATGGCAATGGGTTCCCACAAGGGTTTCCTTTAAGCCTTGCCCGAGCACGATCCGATCTTCTAGTTGGACTCCGAGGACTGGAGATTTTGCCTTGAAGGTTGTCCAAAAAATGCGAAAAAAGTCAACGCACTTCTTAGAATCTGTACCAACCTTTCCCCCCCCACTGCTCAACCCTCCCAACAAAACTTCCTCCACTCAAAGCAAAAACGAACTGACCAACTCTCACTCTCCCCATGTCACCAAGGCGCTCGTAGGCATTCTCCGGCGCCTCTGGCAGTTTCTTGGCTGCACCCAGCAGCTCCTACAAGCTCTGAAAGTGAAAGGATGACAAAAAATGGGGGTGCCCAAACGCATGAAACGATGCCATGGGTTGTAAGGACGCTCTGAAGAAGCATGAACTTAGTTCCCAAAAGGATGCGAAAGCAAAGCCTCCAAACAGAGCATGGTCTCATAAAATATGACAACATGTCCACCCCCGTTTTGGCTCGACTAAAACATCAAGAAAGATGTCCACCCCGCTTTGGCTTCCTTTAAATGATCCTGGCAAATTTGTAAGAGGAGGCAGGTCGTGCTGTATTTTTTGTTTCCTTTCATAGCGCAATGTTCCCAGCAGTCGATGCCAGGAGTCGACGTCTGCAGCTTTTCGCCAGTTCCCGGACTTCACATGTACCTGCACATCCTCCTTTCAGACACTGTCCTATGCGCTCGAACGCAGTACAGGGTAACCTCGTTGCTGCAGTCTTTGTCCGGGACAGCCACGTTGACACCTTTCTGTCGATTCTTGGGCGAAGTTCCAAGTTCTATGTCTACGGGAAGACTTTCTTGGGTCCCCTAAAAAGGTAGGGGGTCCCCAATTCAGCAGGACTTGGGGTTGGACAGCTGTGAGTTTGAGAGTGGGGAGAACAACAGTCGTATGATTGGGGACCCTTTTGTGTACGGAGGAAATACTGCGAATGGCGCTGTTCTGCTTGTAACTTATCTCGGGTTTGTCACATGCAACAGTGTGGCAACACAAGATCGCGCATGCCCTTGAGACTGTTGGTGTCCTCAATCTTCAATTCTTGCAACAGCATTAAAGGCGCAGGATGCAGCTTCATACTCACAAGAGACAATGCACAAATTGGAAGCTCTAACGATCCGCCACGCGACCTCGAGCTTCTCACCATATTCTGAACACATCTCCTATGGCTGAAGCACAGAATATGGCGCATTCTTCCCCACACAAAATGCTGGTTTTGGACACCACACCCACATCGACTCCCTTCTTTGAAGCCCCCTGGATTTCACCCTCCCACCCCTTCTGGCAGTATTTTGAGTCTCTGCTCCCAACAAATAAGGGCATTCATTTCCACCTGGAAGGACCCAGCTTGAGAAGAGTGTACCAGCTATGCCCAGCCATAAACAAAGCCAGCCTTTTGGTTCGGTGTCCTTGGAGAAACAAACAAGCTCCTTGACTCATACGTGGAATTCGCTATCCAGTGAATTCCGCTCTCAAAGCGTCTCCTCGCGATCATCCGCGTCAGCATT